CTAAAATCAACAAATAAATGATTTTTAAAAAGAGAGAAATACGTACTGACAAACCTAGGTAAGGTTGGTTGTGAGTGGTTGGGGAATTGTAATTCACAGCCTGTATCAAGCTGTCTGGTTTTAAGTCTCGGTTCCACCACTTCCTTCCTGTGTGACCTTGAGCAAGTTACTTAACTTCTCTGAGCCACATATGCTCCGCCTGTAAAATGGGGATAAGAAGGCGCCTGCCTTATAAGGCTATTGTCAGGTCACAGGAGAGAAGGGATGTGAAGTGACGGGGGCAGTGCAGACTCCTGGCCGGAGCTGGGGCCGTGTCAGCAGCACCACTATTCCTTCATCGAAACGGGGCCTGCCCGGCGCCACGGAGGGAAGGCTGAGGACTGTGGCGGGCTGGGGAGGAAGGGCTTCCCCATAACTCACTGGGCTCGGTTCCTCACCCTGGAAGCAGGGCCACTCTCCTGGCCTCACTGAGTTGGTGAGTGGGTAACAGCAAACAGAATATGGAAGTGCCTAGCACAGGGCCAGGCGCTGAGCACATACACAATGAATGTGGGTTCCCTTCCGTTTCCTTGAACCAGGGACATACATGGACAATTATCAGTAACTTGTCACAAACATCTTGACATGGGTGATGTGGGATTGCCAGCCAGGGCAAGCGATGCAGAAAAGAGGCTTAGAAGGAAAGACCGGGGGCGGGGGAGACAGCAGGAGAGGCTTCCTGGGGGAGGAAGCTGGGTCAGAAAGGCCGGGGGAAGGGAGGCTGGAGCAAATGCAGAGCCAGAAGAGTGGGGACACCCAGCCCCCTGGAGGCATGGCGTATTTCTGAGCCAGCGACTCAGACACACCGGGGTGGAGATGAGCCTGGTTTTGGGTAGCGTGATGGCTGTCCTGGAGGCTCCGTGAAGCCTCCGTGCTGGCCATGTTCAAGGCCAGCAACACAGAGACCAGAACAACCGATCTAGGAGGGAAGCTAGAATCTCTGGCCCAGCCATTCTACAGACGTGGAAACTGAGGCCCAGGGAGAGCAAGGGACTTGCCCAAGATCACACGGTGGGTCAGTGGCGGAGCCAAGGCCTGTGCTTAGCCTGGAACCCCGGGGCCAGAATTCTTTTCAGAACTGCAATAATATCAGTTAATGGTACGCAGGTAGTATTTACTGTGTGCCCCCCATCTTAGCTTCTTAGGAGGATGGTGAGGGACTGCTGTTACTCCCATTTTACAGATGAGCAAACTGAGGCCCAGAGAACTAAACGGAGTCACACAATGAAGAGAATAGCCAGGTTTCAACCTCAGGCTGTCTAGCCCCAGAGTCTCGGCTTTTAACCAACACACTCTCCTGCTTCTCATCGTAGCCGGTACCCCTCCCTCCCATCATGCATGCATGCACCCCACACCCCCAACCAAGCGCGCATGCATTCATTCAACGGTACGCATTTCAGCTCCCACCACTTCAAGCCTCGAGGGGTCAGCTGTGAATGCACAGCCAACCCCACGGAGCCCACCCGCCTGTGCGTGACCCCCGCCGCCTTGCACTGTGCCCAGCCCTTGCAGAGCTCACTAAAACCCGCCTCCTGAAAAGCCCAGTTTCAAATTTAGCTGCCCGAGACCACAGACCACTGTACTGCTGGGAAGCCACAAACCAACCCTCTTTCAAGGGCCATTATGTCACCGGCTTCGGAAAGGGAGAGTGAGGACGATTGATCCAGTATCAATTTCTGGGCAGAATGGTGAGTCCATGGAGGTCTGAGGCCTCACTGGCAAGAATAATAATAAACAATCCTGCAAATCAGATTTGGGCATCAGTACATGGGGCTTGAAGCGACGGAGTGAAAAAGTGCCACGGTGGACTCCTGCCACCAGAGCTTTCAACAAGTCTGGCCCCTGGGCACCCGTTCAGCCCGCCCCGGTGGCTCCCACAAACCTCCGCCTTCTCCTGTGAACAGCAGAGCGCCTGCTCTGTGCCAGGCCCACAACGCTGTTCTACCCAAAATGCTGGCATGACTGCTCCACTCCCCAGATGAGGAAAGGGAGCCTCAGAGAAAGGAAGACTTGTCCAAGGTCAACACTGCCTGGTTGCAAAGACTGTGATCCCCCTGAACATGGCCACTTCCGTGCAGC